AGGAATCTCCACACTGTTAGGATGATTTTTATTTACCAAAAAAAATCTAGGTAGGATTTTCCTGTGGATTTCAGATTATTTGGAAACCACACTATCTTCAGCTCATTTTAGAAACAGGATCTTTTTAATAAAATGAGTTCCAAATTCAAATACCTAAACCTGTATGGGTGTGCTTAGAAAGTCAAAACAAAATATATGTAAAATCTCCCTTTCACTTTCTCAGGCAAAGAGGAACCACTTAAAAATTACAAAATAGATTACTCTCTAAGCAATGATCCTTTCTTTTCATGGATTTCTTGATCTGCTCACACAGGTTTCAATGCCTCCACTCCATAGCTAACCTTTCTAGAGACATCTGTGGTTAAAGTAGGCAGTACTAAATCGAAAACCTATCTCTACTTATTTGTTTATTTATCTGTTTCACTATAAGTCAGATTTATTAAATTCGGAATCTTTACAGCCATCTTTAAATCTGTCCATAAGGACAGATTTAGTTCCATGATACTGCGAGAATTTTTTTTTCAGCATTTATCTTATTTGTGGGCAAAGGACCTTGAAAAGATTCACATTTATTCTAAGAAAAATCAACCACCACCAATCAGACAGTCTGTAAAAGAAAGAAGACTAATCACCCTGGCCTCATTTAAAATACATTGGAGAACGTATTCATTGTGGTATAGGCTACGCTTCCTAAGAAATATAAGTCAACAGACACTGCGGGTCAAACAAGACGGAAATTTCTCTCTCAAAATACTAGTGAGCGAGAAGCCTGAGCTAAAGGCACGAATGTGGTGAAGCAGCAGGGCACATGCAGGGAGCAGGTCAGGGAAGCCCGTCAGAAGCTGTCAGCTGAGGGTCTGCGTTCCTTTTGTCTTGTTGCTCTGCATTCAGTGGCGTGTTCCTCTTACCTGTAGAGTCAACGCTGGCTTCCATTCAAGCCCACATTTCTCCCGATGAAAAATGCAGAGTAAGCAGCTTCCTGATATAAAAGAGACTCGAGAGTTTTTATACATCATTTCTGCTCACATCTTATTGGCAAAAGCCTAGTCACGTGGTCATTTCTAACTGCAAAGGAGGCTGGAAAATTTAATCTGATTGTACGGCGTACTTTTAGCAAAAGTTCTGTCACCACAAGTAGAGAATGGACGTGGGGAACGAATAACTGTCTCTATTACAGAGAGATGTCATGGTCTAATATTTCTGCAGATTCCTCCATTGATAGGCAAAACATTTTATAATAATGCCGTATGAGCGATTCAGTCATCACAAAGCCTTAGTGATAATGACAATGTTTCAAACACTAATTTTACACCTTCCATGAATAAAAAGGTCAGCTAAGAACAAATACTTAACTTGAGAACATCCCTACCAATATGAAACACTTCAAATTAAAAGAGGCTAACTTTTAGGACAGTATCCCAAATCTTCTCAGTGCTGTCAAACCTCTAGTTTTTTCTGAGTGCCTTTCCAAACTCAGGCATACATGCTGGCATATTTGTGAATCGAGATGGACACAATCCACCTTAACTGGGCAGATGTTAGACATAGCTTAAAGATGAGAGACTTCTTGGTTTTTAGAACAGGAAAGAACCTAGCTCTAGGGATAAATCACTTGCGTAGTCATTCTTCCTTATAGCATCCACGCTCCTCTCTATGTATCTGCTCCATTGCCCTTTTCCCTCTAAGCAATCTTTATTGATAGTCTAAAATCCAAATTATAGAAGGATCTAGTCAAGTTTATATGAACAGTTAGCATTCAGCAAACCAATTTTTTGGTCATCTTAAGATAACTGGCTAAGTTATGGAGTCAGTGGCCGTGGGTCAGGTGTAACCTCCAGAATGATCCAGGATTGCTTCTGGATAAATACCAGTCAACAGGAGAACCCCTGATCAGGAGCCAGTTTCACCTGGAAGGGAAGCTGAACATTGCAAGTACTGTGGTGAATAAAGCTAATACTATATTTTATCCAGTACATCATTGATTTTTAAGACACATCATTAATTTTCAAGAGAGAAAACAAATGCTGCTGTTTAAGACACAATCCAACTTGACGGAGGATACAAAGTGAAAAAGTAGAGCAGCATAAGATAATAAGACACAGTAAACACATTATTAATGACTGTAAACATGATAACTAGCAGTTGTTAAGCACTTACTATGTGGCGGAGATTATTCTATGCGATTTGCATGAATTAAATGATTCAGTACTATTATAATCATATAGAAACAAGGTATTTAATATAACAACTTCTGAAATCTCTGTTACTTCATCTCTCTAGCAGGTAATCATTCATATTTTTAAAAAAAATTGGGAAGTCCAAGCCCACTACCTCACATAGTAGACCATTAATTTTTGTTTAACACTGAAGCTATTTCTTTCTTTCTTTTTTCTCTAGTTTTATTGAGATATAGTTGGCATTTAGCATTGTAGTAGTTTAAGGCATAAAACATAATTATGTGGTGTGTGTGTATATATATATATATATATACATACATATATATATGCAAGTGAATATCAAAATAAATTTAGTTAACACCCATCACCCCATATAGTTAGTTTTTTTTTCTTATAATGATAACTTTTAAGATCTATGCTCTTGGCAACTTTCGAATACACAATAGAATATTGTTAACTTTAGTCACCATGCTGTACATTGTATCCCCAGAATTTTTTTCTCTTAAAACTGGAGGATTGATAGCACAGGGAACTATATTCAATATCTTGTAGTAACTTAAATAATTAAAAAGAATATGAAAACAAATATATGTATGTTTATGAAAAATCTAGTTTCTCCTGAAGCTCTAGCTCTTGACTGTGTGCCGCAAGTGCACAAGCGGTATGCCTCATGCCACCGGGGAATTCATCTTTCAGTAACTCAAGTTGCTTGAATTGTAGAGGCTACAACGCTGTTTACACTACATCAACCAAATCAACCACCTTTATAAATATGTACATATACTTCTAATCTACATAAATTAGAGGAGGAAGAATAAAGCAGCTATTACCTGTGGTTGTCCATCCACACGGCAGCAAAAGACAAAAAACTACAACATAACTTTGAAACTAGAGAACTGTAAGATAAGATGACTTTTGAAATGACTAGAAGAAGCATATATATATATATAATATAATGTATTATATATGTGTATTATATACATATATGCATATATGTATTGTATATATATATATGCAGATCCAAAGGTACCAGGAAGCTTGAAAGTGTTTTTTCTCAAATCACTCTTATAAGAGGTATCTCATGATAAAGGGGAAATAATTTACCTATATTTCAGAGCATCTGAAAGTGAGAAACTTGAACACCCAGCATTAGAACATATGTATTCATTTGTCTTAACAAATGTGACCCAAATTATTACATCTTTTTCTTAGCCTCAATATCCTCTCTTATGATCAACAAAATAACTTTGCTCTGTGCCTGACAATTACAGCTAGTTAATGTCTCATTAATATTTTATCATTTTGGTGATGTGTTATTGAACCTGGCCTCCTCAGGAGGCTGGTCCAGTGATTACAAGAGTAACTAGCAAATGCTTAATCACCCACTTTATTATCTTCCTATTAATAATAAATACCAGGAGGCAATGTATATAATTACCTTGCTAGTTTGAGTGGCATAGAACTTAAAGTTTGTAATTTTGGAATACTAATTTAATTTGAACAGCATCACATTGGTACTTGGGAAACCAGCTGTGTAAAAGCATAAGAGAATATGAATTCTCTCTATTGAAAACCAGGGAAACTCATTGAAAGATCCTCTTCATGGACTCTGGAACCCTTCTAAAATAGTTGCATCTCCTTAAATAAACTGTATAATATTTTCTCTCACATGATTCATGACCCTCAGTATTTGAGAAGTTATTGATAAATGTCTAGCTCACTTATGCCAGACGTATGGGGATTCCAAACAAGGATTATTCCTCCAGAAATATCAACGTGCCTGCTTAGTTATGTTAATAATCAGTCTCCTGATTATTAAATGTAGATAGTAATAAGACTGAATTTTGAATAACATTCATTTTTTCTACTGTTTTTGACAAAATAAGGCAGTATTGTGTTTACTTCTTTTCTTCCAACAACAACAAAAAAAGTGTTACCGGTAATAATCTGGTTAAGCATGAAGGATTTCTGTAATCGAGGATTCTCCCTGCCTAGTGGTCAGGTATCCCCTTGGTCAAACAGTAAGCACTTTCTTGAGTACCTACGATGTGTCAGGCACTGGTCTTCACACAGAGATTCTCAACTTTCACACTGCTATGGCACGTACAAGAGAGGACACACCTCCAGTGCACAGGAACATGAAATGCCAGTTCCTCCATTTTCCCTGGCATTCAAGGAAGAATAGTAAGATGTAGCTAAGTAGTTATTAAACAAATGATATTGAATACTGACCTTACTCTAATTTACATGACACGAATATTGGGTACTTAAAATTGTGTTAGTGACGAATTGCATGTAACACACCAAGACTTAACAGCACATAGAACACTGTTGCTCAGAGCTATTTTTCCAAGTCCTACAAGTCCAAATGAACTTCATGTGGTCACTGTTGTGTCCTGTTTCTGTGCTACACATCACTGCTTCTGCACTTTTCCATTCTAAAATCTCCTTCTTCCTCATGTGAATCTAATGTCTATTTAACCTTCCAATCCCAATTCAAATCTTTTATTTTTCCTTATCCTACCCAATTACTTCTGCAAGTAACAATCTGCTCATTCACTGAGTTCCTATTTTAAGCATTTATTACACATCTATAATGTAGATCGTATGCTCTAATTGCCCATTTGTTTTGTATCAGTCAGCACCATTTAAATTGGTTTAATAGGGCTTCCACTATTCCTCTATTGAAAAGCTAACCTTACTTTCAACTACCATGATGGGAATTACATTTCTTTTTTTCATAGTACATAGCACAACTTAAAAACTTAGAGTGCTCAGATTAGCACTGATAGGTTGATTTATGCTGATGATTATGTCCTCTATCCATCTATGTTTATATGTCTAAAAACCAAATTAAAGGTGGGAATCTCAGCATCACCTGGGAGCTTATTAAAAATGCAGAATTTTGGAAATCAGCCCAGACCTAAATGAATCAGTTTTTGTATTTTTAAAAGACCCCCCCCGAAGTGATTCACATTATATTAAGTTTATAGAGCCCTGATAAAAGTAAGTGCTGAATTTTTGAATTTTCAGTATTCATAATATAAAGAATATTTGAGATACAGAGTATTTATAATATTTGATTAAGTGTATTATTTAAGAATAATTCTACCAAAAACTAGAAATCAAAACCAAAAAGGATTATTTCCTATTATTAATCCCATATTTTAAACATTACTGAGCAGTTAATATCAACATTGTCTGTGCACTATACAACATATACAGTTCAACTTACTCTTTTTCTGATACGGAGAGCAATGTTTAAAAATGGCAAATGACTTGTCAAAAGGCACAAAGCCAATGACTTACACATTGGAATTTAGCTAGTTATTCTCTCTCATTTCATTTAATACACATGGGAAGCCTATAAGGTAAATATTACTACTAACTTCATTTTAATGATGAGGAAACTAAAGCTTAAAAGTGATAAGAAATTTCCTTTAAATCATAGAGCAAATAAAAATATCAGAGACTCACATATGCATCTCTGGTTTTTTGACACCAGGCTGTTACTCGTGCTGTTCTATGATCATAATCACCCATGGTAGAGATTTCCAAAGATGTGAAGCAGAGAAGAAACATGGCAGATTTAAGAAAGTCAAAGAAGGTTACTTTAGAGAAAGAAAGTAAGGTGGAATGTAGTCCATGTTGATGCCAAAAAGTAGGCAGGCTTCCTTTCACAGGCTAAGTTATAGACTTTAACTTTTCTTAAAATAGTACTAAATACTTTTAAACCAGGGGTGTGATATAAACAATTTTCCATTTGAATAGAATACTCTAGTGGCATTATGGAAAGCAT